CAAAAGACAAAAAATCAAATCAAGGGGGGTGGAATTGGAAAAGGAAGGGGGGTACTTATAGAAAACCCCTTAATGAATTGATTGTTCCTTAGTAAATGACCTTTCTACCCTTGTGTTTAGGGAACAGCCGGAGTTGTAGTCGCTGGTCTTCTGGGAGCTGTAAGAGCACAAGAAAAGATGATGATCGACTTTCCAAAACAAAATATCGTTGTTGCTGGTGCTGGAAGGTATATATACTATTTATTTATTAATACAAAAATAAAATGTTTATTATTAAATAAGATAATGATTTATAAGTGCTGAAAACTGCAGTGCAGGAGTTGGGGTTGTGAAAGCAGCGAGGAGAACAATGGCAAGAATGTTGGGAGATAGTAAAGCTGCTTACGATAGTGCACGAAGTCAGTTCTGGGTAGTTGATGTTAATGTATGTATGTATATATTGATATTCATTACAACTGTTTTATTAAATTTGGTTATTACTTATTACCATTTACATCTTCCTATTTTTTGGTGAAATAAATCAGGGTTTAATCACAGAAGAGCGTGCAGGCATTGATAATGAACTCAAACCATTTGCACGAAAGATCAATGAAACCAAGCGTAGAGGCTTGAGGGAAGGAGCAACTCTTGTAGAAGTGGTGTGTTGACTTTATACGGTTTGACTATTTTTTTTTTTTTTTTTTTTATAGTAAATTACATTTTTTGTCCATAGCTGATCTTTTTTTTTCAATGTTGTCCCAAAAGGTTTTCTCATTTTACTTGGAACAGGTAGTAAAAATGTTACAAGAACCTCAAATAAGGACCAAAATTGCCTTATGGGACCAAAATTAAGAAGAATCAGTTATACTTTGGGACCAAAATGTAATTTACTATTTTTTTTTATTAACTTTTTTGCATGTACTGATTATATTGGATATTATATGTATTAATCAGGTGCAGGAGGTAAAGCCTGATGTACTCCTTGGGTTGTCTGGAGTTGGTGGCTTGTTTTCTAAAGAGGTATAATTTTTTTATATTTATTTAGTAAAACACATTGTATTCTATAATTTCATGTTATTTATCTTGTACACTTGTAATTGAACTAATTTCTTAATCTTTGTTTCTAGGTATTAGAAGCGTTTAGAGGTTCAACTTCAACCAGACCAGCAATATTTGCATTGTCAAATCCCACAATGAATGGTATAATTGACTTAAATGCAGAAAGAAACGAATTAATAAAGAAAGTCAAAAGAAATGAGACTTTCCCTACTTTTTACAGTTTTCTCAAGTGTGCTTAATTATTTTGTTGTATGACAGCTGAATGCACCCCTGAAGAAGCATTTTCTGTTGTGGGAAAACACATTATTTTTGCTAGTGGGAGCCCATTTCAGAATGTTGATCTTGGTTTGTCTTCAAACTTTCTTCTGATTTTATATACATATGTGAGTCAGTCTTATTTACCAAAATGTTGATTCAAAATTTTCTGGTTAGATATAAAAATAAATACATGCTTTAACATTAAATATGAAAATGCTCCATTAAATTCTTATCTCATCTTAACTTTGTTCTAGTATCTCGTCTTTTATCCCTACTTTTGGACTTTTTTTTACAGGAAGTGGAGACATTGGCTATTGCAACCAGGGAAACAATATGTATCTTTTTCCTGGGTCAGTTCTTATCTTATGAGAATGAGGAGGGCATTTAAGTCTTTTTACACAAACAAAAGATCAAGAGCCGTAGATCTCTGTCCCACATTTTTTGGCAATTTTTGTCCCATTGACATCAATCCTGATCCAAATCCAAACACAGTATAACCTATGTAACAAAAGTGCCTGAGAGAATTTTTATTTTTTAATTATTTTGAGTAAATCTTGATTTGCAGTATTGGCCTTGGTACTCTTCTATCGGGTGCTAGAATAATCTCAGATGGCATGTTACAGGCTGCAGCTGAGTGGTAATTTTGTAATTTATAAAACTAGAAAACCGATTATTATTGTTTTTCATAACTTTTTGGTATCTTATATAAACCACAGCCTAGCTGAATGTATGAAAGAGGATGAGGTTGTGAATGGGATGATATACCCTCCAATATCCCGGTAAATATCAATATAATATTGTTTCTTATGAATTTAAAATAAAATGTGTATGACATGTCATCCAGCATACGAGAGATAACAAAATCAGTAGCTGCTGCTGTCATTAGTGAAGCAATAGAAGAGGATTTAGCAGAAGGATACCGTGGAATGAACTCTCGTGATCTCCAAAGGCTAAATAAGGTAATTATTTTATAAAGATTTATGAGAATGACCTAATTAAATTATGATGATTAGGATAACTATATATATTATTATTATTATTATTATTTTTGCAGGAGGAAATTCTTGTGCATGTGGAGAACAATATGTGGAGGCCTGATTACCCGAAATTGATCTACAAGGATGATTAAAATCTGTAGCTTTTTATCTATCCACAGAAAGGAAATAAAAAAAGGCCAATGTTGACCATTTTTGTGTCATTGGTTTAGGTCCCATGCAAAAGATGCATTAATGAAAAGAGCCTAATTGGAAATCAACAAAATAGGAATCAAATTCCTTAGGGAATGGTAATGGAATGAAGCATTTCTATTAGGAATTTTGAGCAAATGTGCTCAATAATAACTAACACCTTTGAAAAATATGTCTATCTTTCCAATGTCCTTGTTTTACTTAGGAAACTTGCCCTAATTTATGGAACAAAAACAAAGATGTACATATTTTTCAGGTGATGTTACCGAGCACATATATATTTTTTACAGACAATGTATACGTTGTTTTCAGCATATTTAATTTTCATTTCTATTTTGAGATCAATATTCTTTTTGATGTAGTAAAAGGAGGGGATTTAAATTCGCAATCTTCAAGGAACTGGAGACTGGCTTTTGATTCAATTTAGAGATGGGTGTTAGCATGTTTAATGTAAAACTCATATAAAATTAAAGATTATTGTTGTTGGGAATCCCTTTTTAATTGCCTTTGAATTTTGAAATAAAGCACTTCTTATTTCATTATGAATTGTTATTATTTTGATTTAAAATGTCAAACGTGATCCAAAATAAGAGAGTAAAGTGTGTTAAAAGTCAACCTTTTTTTGTATATTCAACTATCATGTACCTCTCAGTTGTAAAAAACTGTTTGTTTAATACTTATTTTTTTTTCCTTAGTCCAACATTCGTAATGTTGGTTTGTCGGTATGTTTGTAGTGGCAGATCCCACTACCACCTGCTTCTCGAAAAGAAAAACAATTTGAAATATTTTTGTTCGAGTGAAACTTGTAGGACGCCACCACCACAATTTTGAAAAAAAATAAAAGTAGGTTTGGATTAACTATTAAGAAGCTCCAGCCTCACAAAAAAGTCGGAAGAAAAGAGAAATACAAAGATGTATTATCTTTAGTACTAAAGACATAATTGGTTATCAAAGTTCGGTTATCAAAGTTCTAGTCATTTAACTTATTTTGGCGGATTAACCAAAAAGCTAACTATTAATTGGAAGTTCCTTGCTAAGTAAAAAATTGACCAATAAAAAATAAGACAAAATTTCAAAAATGATTGCTATTGTTTTTCATTTTATGTGGTTAAGATCCAAACATTGAAAAACTTGCAGATTTGATCATTTTAACCTAGTTTTGTTGTAGATTTGGTCTCTTTCTAAACTAAACAAATTATTATACCTTTCTATCTTATTTTTAATAACTTATTTAATATTTTAAAGATATTTAATAAATATTAAAAAGAAACGAGCCCACTATCTCTCCCCCTCCTCCTCCAGACCCTACCACCATCTCTTTCTTCTTTCGAGCATCTATTTTCTAATTGTAGGTATCCACACAAACCTAAACTATAAGTTGATGAACCCAAAAAATAGGGATGAGCAGCGGAACTTGGTAACCGTTTTTAGAACCGGAACTGTCTCGAAACCGTCTTAAGCAGTTTCGGTTTCGGTTTTCATTTTACAAAACCACTACCCTCTGGGTATCCGCCGGAACTGGTATATATATATATATATATATATATATATATATATATATATATATATATATATATATATATATAT